TAGCAGCTCTGATTAACATATACAAAGAATATACGTCTATTTTACCCTCACTGATTTCCATGGAATATGAGAGGGATTGAATACAGTGACATACTGTCAGCTGATGCATCTTTTTTGGTCAGCCGGTGATGCTGGCACCTGGTGGGTGGTGATACACACACTAAATGCACAGCCCCCATCAGGCACACTGAACAGCTGTTTGTGTGCTCCAGGGATGGTGTAGCCGGTAAGGCCCTATCCAAGAAACACCTGGCAAGACGGCTTTGTTTGTACACAGCTCATGGGCAGGCGGAGAGAGGCCCTCCCACTGCGGTCCGCATACACTCTGCACACAGCATATTACTGTTGGTGGCCCTGTTGAGGTATAAGTATCAAGGACATATTTACGGCAGCATTGTGGTCTATGCCCTGTCTGTTCATATGGTTCTTTTGCTTGGGCATGTTAGGTTCCTTTTCAGGGTCCGTGCTTGCTGGATACAACACAGGACTGATGAAAATTGTTGGGTGTGTGTCAGGTGTGTTGCACCTGACTGCACTCTGAGCACACATGTCCCCATGCTGATGACTGGTTTTGTGGGCCAGGCAGAACTCTCTGTCGAATATGCATTTACTATGACAGAGCGTCACAGAGAAACTGACATTTTATTTCGCAAGAAGTATCAAAACTCAAAGGTTCAACAGGTTCAATACATTTACATGTATCAACTCAAAGGAATAAAAATTAAAAATAATCCATCCATCCATCATTCTTCTACACTGTGGTGGCAGGTTATAAAGAAGTAGGCAGGCTGCAGCAAGAAACCTTTGGCAGGTCGGGATCTCTGTGGCTGGGTCAATGTTTTGTCATTACAGGGCATTTATTCATCCTGCTCTCCTCAGTTTACCCATAGAGTCTAGTAGAGGGTGGAGCCTGTGTGAGAAAGAACAAAGGTTATGATATTCTAACCCTAGTTCTATTAGCACAGATAGAGCCCTTTACTTTTTTAGGGGCCCTGTTGCTCTGACGCCACTTGCTGAGGAGGGTTTAGGATAGCTGACAGCAGTGTGTGCTGCCTTATACTGTGGGGTCTGCATATATTCAGACAGACACATCCTGACTGGTTATGTTTGTGCAAATTACAGAGGGCAAATGAATGTTCATGATTGGAGGAGAGTTTTCCCCATAGAGTCCAATAGTCAGTGGAGGCCTTGGCATAGGCAGTACAGGCGAATGATAGGGGCACCATCATGCAAAGGGGGGGACCACAAATGGGGAAGAAAAAAAGATCAAAATGTTTATCTTATACTATTTTTTACTAATACCGTTACAGCTATTATTTTGAAATATTAAGGCCACAACAACATAACTACATATTAAAGCCTACTGAATACTAGAGGCCTATTTTTCTGGGTTCCTGCCGCCCCCGGGCTCCCTCCCCAGCTTGTTACACTTTACCTGCTCTCTGAGGGAGATGGGCGAGTTATCCAACATCACATGAACCCTGATACACATGCATCATTATCATGTCTAAATGACAAAAGCCCTTTGGTACCACTACACTACTGAGAGGAATGGATGTGGAGAGAAGGAACATGAAAGAAAGGAGGAGAGAGCTAGTTATCGTTTCCTCTAAACAGCCAGTGGCCACAGCTCATAGAGGTTGCATTGATTTACAATGTGAAGCGTTCAAGCTCTATTCAGAAAAAATGAGTATTGGCCAAAGGTAAATTGTAACATTCTCATGATGTGTTCAGTGTAATCTTGTCAAATGTAGCCTAGCTTTTGGTGGGAAACTTGAATAAGGCCTAGGCCTAGGCCCCCAAATGAGCAAGTGTCGCCACTGCCAATAGTGGGCTATGCCAGTGCTACTAGAACTAGGGTTACACTATGGTAACCTTTATTATTGGTCAACAGCACAAATTTGCAGGTCAAAGTATAGTTAATTTAATAAAGCCCAGAGGTTTTGTACACAAACTGCTGGTCTATTAATTATTATGCTATTATGACTTAGTTCTAGAAAGGATGTAGAGGTGAGGCCCAGTATATTTTTTACTGTAGCATGTGCAGTTGCATTTAATAGAAAAAGTAATATGTAATATTAATATTCAGCCGTCAGTTGGGCGTATGTGGTCTTTCACAGGCAGTAGGAAACTAGCAAGGCCTTCACCGGTCAGTCAAGGCTGCTCTAACAAGTTTAAACAGAATTATGGCACAATGACACAAATGTCAAATTAAAAACAAAGACCGTACTGAGGATGTTGTTGGTGGCACCAACACCAAACCTCGTCATCACATGGTTTTATCGGGAAAACAGTGAAAAGGATCACTGGAAAGAGTTGGCTTCAATTTAGAGGAAACAAAACAGCTTTAGGCCAGCATGACTGCTCTCCTGGGTAAACTCAGTGTGGGCATAGCTATCAGAGAAAATATTTACAAAGACCAACCGGCCTGGTTTTTTGCCGCCAAGCTGACTCCTTGGTCACAGAAGTGTGTGTAAGTGTTTTGGATTGCTGCCTGCTGCTAGGCGTCCAAGTGAAGATCAGAATCTTAAAGTTGAACATTCACTATTTAAATAAAAACACTGAACTGATTATTTTGTTTCTACAGCATGAACAAAGGATTCCCTTCATTGTACGTGTCTGTCACATCCCCTCCACCCTGTTCCATTGCACCACACCCCGGTTATAAAGAGGCACTGAAATAGCATTGAGCCTACTCTGTGAATTGTGAGTTGTTCTAAACTGTCATATATGTCTGTAATCACAGTAATAAGTTAGTCAGATCTCCAAATACAAATTTGTTTAGAACTGATGGTAATTTACAATACATTTTCCTTGTGATTCTATACTCAACTGCACTGAAACATATGGTTCATCTCTTATTACATCCACTAAGTCGACTCCCTCCCAAAGTGAGTCCAACGGACGTGATCACATTCCCTCAGATCTACTCAACCAAATCTCCACCTGGAAAACAAGCTGCTCAAGGAATGAGCATGAAGGTTTACTTAATGTATTCCTCGTCACGTTTTGTTTCTGCGTCCTTTGGCTGTAAGAAGTATGTCCACCTCCCTTGTTCCTACTTCCTCTTCCAGTCTAGTCACTTTCCCCCTGAGGAAAGTGGAAGGCAGTTCTCTTCCTCCTCTGCCAGCTCCACTAATTTGAGCGAAAATGTTGAATAGTTTAAGAATGATGATTGATTTAGATCGACCATAAGTAAGACAATCGTGTCTCTACCTCAGCAGTTATTATTGTACTTCGAGGAAGTCCGATTCCATGAGTCAGTGTCTCTCCTGGTAGGAGACCTTTTTATTGTTAATGTTTCTATTACTGAATACAATTGAAATTGTACCATAATAAGGTGATTTGTTCAGGGTATTCAAGAGGGATGACAGTTTGGGGATATCCACATTCTTTACTGTAAGGCAATTTGGGTAAGGCAATTTGTACAAGATATTCTTTTCAGCTAAATTCATTTATCCTTTTTTGGGGGTGGCACTCTGGGGAGACAGTACAAACTGAAAACACAACAGTGACAAATTATCACCTAATAAAGTTCATATGTCCTGACAAACTGCTGCTTATTACACTTCTAGCAGACACAGCATTCATTTGAAGTCATGTTTATATCCACCTGGTTCATTTAAGTCAAATTTTCAGTCTCTTTTAACTCTGTTTTGTCCACTACCAACACTTGAGGGAAATATCTGGCTCTATAGCTGCTAAATGCTCCAATATGTTCACCAGCTGACAAATTTAAGCCGTTTTTACAAAGAGATAGTGCTATAGGGCCACTGCGAACACTCTGCATTATGCTGCTTTTGCACTTTTACACAGAACCATGTGTGATTTTTGACAGCATTCTGGCATCCCAAAGCAAAAGAGGCATGATGGGCATGACATGAAACACAGCAGTGTCAGCCCCTACTGTGACGTATGTGTCCTCAGCACACATACAATAACAATAATAATTTTCCATCCCCGTTAAATGGCATCATCTTCTGCTTGGAGGCTAAGGCGCTCAGACATTATTGATTTTCCATTTTCTGAACATTTTCAGCCGACGTTCTTCTTTGAGTTACCTGCTAACTGCTTCTAGCTGATTTTTGAAAGGAGAAATGTATTTTGAAAAGACACAATGCATGTAACAAGTGAAACTGACAGGTGTCTCGGAATATCAATAACAGACATAAGAGGTTAACCTGTGCGACGTATATAAACCAAAGAGTCCACAGACAAAGCTGCGATATTTGACAAGTTGGGATGAGTTTCACCAGAGGCTCCATGATACAACATTATCACTATACTCAAGTGATTTTACAATATTATTGTGATTTTAAATATGCTGAGTGCAACTGCTATTACAATAAAATATATTACAATTTGTTACTTTTTTCAACTGTAAATTATTTCCCCAAAGGACAACTTTGTCAACATCTATATTATTCTAATAAGGGAACGTTTTCAGTCTGTTCATCTGACTTAGGCCCAAATCATTTTATTTGCAGAAAAACGTATGTATTGGACTGAAAAGGTAACTGATTTTATTATTTAAGTAAGCAAAAATATTGTAATACTATGCTGTATCAGTTCCCACTCCTAATCTATAACGGGAGTTTCTATTTATTTATTTATTTTCACTTTTAGATATGAAATATGTCAAATTTTGATATTATAGGCCTACAACATTTTACCATTATTCATTTTTTGCTTAACATGGTTTAATAAATGTGTAGGATTTGTGAGGGTGGTTTTTAGGGCAGCAGTCTCTTTTCCCATGAGACTTTAATGGTAATATCTAAAAAGGGAAAGGGAAGAGCCACTCATGGGAGAGGATTAAGGGGATATTGTTCATCCCTCTCTTATTAAAAGTTCACGTACCCGCGTGCGTGTGTGCGTAAGTGCGTGCGTGCGTGTGTGTGTGTGTGTTTTGATGGGCCCGTCTCTTTGAGATAAGGCATTTGGACAGCCTGGGGGTTGAGCAATCAGACCGGGGCTTTTCACGCTCTGCCAGAAGGGAACTTCCTTCCTCGACTGGGTCCCAGAAAAAAAAATACAGTTGGAGGCTTTTATAAATTGGGACTATGGTCAGCTTTCAGTCGCTGTGTCAGCTTCAGATCGTCGAACACAGAGGTTTTAACCACAACAGGTCACCGTCGGCAGCTTTTCTAAGATCGACAGCATGATTCCTCCAACACAGGCGCTGCTTATCGGCGCGGTTTTCCTCTGCGCGCTGGAGGAAACGGTCCAGTCTCACTTAGGACACTGCGCCGAGAATCAATGTTTTGCGCTTTTCCAGGATCCCGAGGATCATGCAGGCGCTCAGAAACACTGCAAAGACTCGGGCGGACAGTTATTAAAGTACAGCTTTGGAGACTTTGTGAAGATACTTAAGAGTCCGGTCAGCGGTCATTTCTGGTTGGACGCATCAGCAGAGGAAGCAGCGGCGGGTCTCCGAGACTGCCCCTCCATCTTCGTGTCGATGGGACAGGACCCGACGGTGCTGTGGAAGCCATGCCGCGACACCATGGATGGATTTCTGTGCCAGTATACATTCGATGAGCCGTGCAGTGGTTTGCTGACAAGTGAAGGCGCACAGGTAAACTACACCAGCCATTGGGACTTCGATCTGTACGGTTCGGAAGCGTTTCCACCAGGAACTATCGCTGTAGAGAAAAAGGTTGACGGTAAATATCCGGACTCAAAGCATATGTGTTTCTCCAGCGTTTGGTTGCAAGCTCCCTGGAATTGTGAGGTGTTTAGGGGCGGCTGTGAGCATATCTGCGCTTCTCCATCACCACAAACACACACCTGCCTCTGTCCCGCAGGGACAACTCTCCATCCCAACAACTTCGCCTGCACCAGAGGTCCGTGCGAGGAGAACCCGTGCACAGGTGAAGATGAGGAGTGTCAGATTACCGAGGGAGGGTTTAGCTGCAGGTGCAAAGATGGCTTCGTTAAGGAGGATGGAGTGTGTGTAAACGTTTCAATCTGTGTGAAGTGTGAGCACATGAAGTGTAACAAATCCAACGGGGTTTATGAGTGTGGGTGCCGAGAAGGGTTTAGGGTGTCACCCCACAACCCCACCAAGTGTGAGGTGATCTGCACTGAGAGAGACTGTCCAGGCCTGTGCATCCAGAGTCACCCGGACAACTATCAGTGTTTCTGTCCTGATGGCTACATTCAAGACATTGTAGGCACGAAACCCTTGTGCACAGACATAAATGAATGTGAGAGTGACTCATGTGATTTCAAGTGTGAAAACATATTCGGTAGTTACAGATGTTTGTGTGATGAGGGTTTCAAGCTGGACCATGATGGGCACAAGTGCATACCCATGGAAGAAGAGGAGGAGGATGGATCAGGCTTCACTCACTCAGACCCAACACCCGCAAGTGCCTACCCAGCCGTTGTGCCCTCTTACATCAAGACCGGCAGCGTCCTGGGTATCACCGTGTTCATGGCACTGTGTGCAGCACTGCTGTTTTTCCTGATCCGAAACACTGTCAAACGTTGTGGCAAATTTGAGCTGACCTCTTTCAAACATCCAGATATCGATATTTACTATCTGCAGCAGGTGACCACAGAGACGTACAAGAGGTTATCGTTTGACAAGTCTAAAAATGACCCATAGATACTTAAATCACACCTGTAAAGAAGTATGCTGCTTTTGGACCTTATTCTTATGGCACATTGCACTGTTTTCCTTTCTCGGAGATGTACAATAAACAGTATAGGACTGTTTCACAGTTTTCCATAGGCAGTGTTAATGGGAAACTGGTTATCCATAAAGCTGCAATCATAACCTTTTAAAGAAAACCTATTAAAGGTTATAACCTTTCACATGAAAAATGTCTTCTTTTAAAGAATAACTGCTTCGAAAGCCTTTTGCACTGTATAATATATGATAATTCCCTCTCTAAAGTTTCTCACCCAAAAATATATTTTACCAGATTACAGAATACCACGAGAGCGTTAAAAATTTACCTTGATATAACACACATTTTTACTGAATAGAGCTTGAACGCATCATAATGTAACTCAGTGTAACCACTGTCAGCTGTTAGTTGCAACCACCAGCTATTAACAGCAAACCGCTAATGATAACTGGCTCTCTTCCTGCTGATTTTAACACAGATTTGTTGTTCACAGTGTTGCACGGTCAGGGGAACAACAAGGTGCGTCCTCTGATGCAACAATGGTGAGTTTACTGTGTCTGTTTGTCATAGTGATGTCCTAGAGAAGATTTCTGTTAGTCCCAAATATTTTTTATCATCTGCGGGACACCAGCTGCTAATACTCATATTATCACACAACAGTGAGATCACGGAGCCCATTTGTCAGTCACTGTGTTCTTCTTGTACCTGCTGATTAATTGAATTTTGTGGCCGTTACTCTCAAACCCTGCTTTTATCCTGCACAAAAGTGATGTGACACAACAGAAAACATCGACCGCTGCCATCAGTGAATGTCATCTTATCGGCCAATACCAATGCTGAGCCGATAAATCGGTGCATCCCTAGTTATCAATCCTTTTGTTTAAGAAATTTAAAAAAATGAGTTTCCCTTCACAATTGGGCTAGTTTATGGAGTTACATATAAAAAGGGATGCTGTTATACAAGAAAAGACTAATAGTAATGGTACTAAAAAATTAGTATGATCACTTTTTTATAATAATTATAGAGCAGTTTCCTCAAACGGTTAAAAAAAATCCAGCAATTTAATACAAACCACTCATAGAGTGTCTGTAAAGACAAGATTGTCTCCTAACAGAACCAGTTTAATGTTTGATTTTACTTGTTGCTGTCTAATAACACTGGACTGCACTGTAGTTCAACTCTTTGTCGTAAAAAGGAAAACTAAATGTGCCTTTGCCTGACATCCTCATGTTGCGTATCGCAAGTAATGTAACTTCACGCCGGTTGTAATATAAACTGTATTTGTGAACTTATTTAGTTAAATCTTAATGGTTTTTATGTTTTGGTAAAATAACATTTAAACTTTTATTATCAATACAAGGAGCCAGAAAGTTGTCTGTAGTCAAATGCACATGATGTGTTTGTGTTGGTGTGTGATACATGGGAACAGTGAGTCGCTATGACTGATGAAATATGTGACATGGTTTGGGATTTTTGATATTTCAGACAGACTTACACTATGTCTAGTTTTGAAGTGAACCCCGGTTTGTTTCAGGATGTATTGGTTGCTATAGGAACTGTTTCTGTTGCATATTAACTCACAGCAGCACGTATTCCAGCTTTATAGACCATTTTCAAATGTAAATACCTGAGGGCTATCATTCCAAAATAACAAATCCATATTCTGCAATGTCTGATGTTTAGTGACTTTGTGAACTTCGACATCGATATGTCTCTATGCATACTTGGAAAAAAATAAGTCCACATACTATTCCACCTGCAGAATGAATTGTGACTCTGCAGGTGTTGATTTGGAAACACAAATCATTTTAAGACATAGCACCACATTATACTGCAGATAGTAGGGAAGAGTGGGGTCATTTGGGACACTTGTATCGACACAAAGTAATCTTCCATTACTCACAGACTACTTGAACAGTAATAACAGTCATTTGATACCTAAAGAGATACAGGTGTCTGTTAACAGCTTATCAAGTTTTTAGAGCCCAATTCAAATGCCAAAAGGAGAAATTCTGTAAAATATAAGGAGTGCATTTTATCCAAAATATTTCTCCCCAGGATGGTTGGGACAGGAGGTTGGGTAAGTTGAGACTTAAGTCACTTAAATTTGAGAACAAAAGTATAAATTTGAATGTCTTATATTTACAATGTACACACATTTCTTTGTTAAAAAGATAACATTTGTAAAATTACATTTTCATAAATTACTGAGATGGAATTTGGCTGTCCTTAATAGGCTACATGTAGCCTATAGGTTTATGTAAGCTATTGAGTGTGTTTTATTTGGGGAAAAAAAAAAAAGTCAATAACAACAACTTGAGAGTTCAGAAAAAGTTAAATAGTCGACTCTGCACATTGAAAATATGGTCAGGATTATTTATGTAGACCTATATTAAGTTCATGCATTTCTATTTTACACTCAATGACCTCACATTGGTTCTTATTCAATAACAAAAAGCCTTTGTCCTGTTTTTGTCTACTTTTTTGTTGATTAGTAACAGTGAAAGACCTATAAGCAATACTGTCCCAACCATGCCAAGAGCAGGAATCCTGTGATAGCTACCAAAACAAAATGCAGACGCTAACATTAGCATCAACTGATAAGCCAAAAAACATCATCTGTCCCACACGTTTTGTGTTTTTTGTATGTAGCACAACTAAAACAGTATGGCAGAAGAAAAATGACGAGACAATTTACTGTCCTAACTGACCCTGCTCTCCCCTACTAAATGAAACAGTTATAGTTCAGTCACGTTTTGTGCATCAGAATATTACAAATGTCAGACTGACATTCCAGTATTCACTGTTAATCCTGAGGTGCTGTACTGGCTGTATATTGTTACCACTGACATTCCCATGAAGTTGGATGCTGTTCACCTTACTGTATAACAGACTGCTCTCAGAGCCACAGATGCTGTGCTGCAGGCTTTGAGAGATCAACTTAACATGAATGTAAAACTGTGCTGCTACGGTCTACATATATGATAACACATTTGCACCTCATTCTGATATTCTCAGCCACTATACTGTATGTCTGTTTAACAGGCACAATGCAAGCTTTTACTCAATGCAGTGTTTGATTTTTTGGTCGATGAATATGTCACTATTGAATGATAAATAAAGTGATAAAGACTAAAAGGTGGTGTGAGACCCACAGAAGGCTCATATATTACATTTACAATACATGTAGATGTACAGTGCCATGTAAAAGTTTGGCACCCCCGGTCAAAATTTTGTTTGCTGTGAATAGTTAATTAAGTAGAAGAACTGATCTAAAAAAGACAAAAATTTAAAGATGACACATTTCATTAATATTTTAAGCAAGATTACTTTTTAATTTCAATCTTTTACAGTTTTAAAATAACAAAAAAGGAAAGGGTCTGCTTGGGCACCGTGCTTGGTCAGTGCTTATTAGCGCCCCCCCCTGGCAAGTATCACAGCTTCTAAACACTTTTTATATCCAGCTAAGAGTCTTTCAATTCTTGTTTGGGGGATTTTCACCCATTCTCCCTGCAAAAGGCTTCTAGCTCTGTGAGATTCTTGGGGAATCTCCCTTTTTTCTCCAAAGATACCTTTGCATTATCGTCATCAGTCCACAGGACTTGATTCTAAAAGGCATCAGGCTTGTTACGATGTTCCTTTGCAAACTTCTTACATTGAATTCTGTGGTGAGAACACAGGAAAGGTTTTTTTCTGATGATCCATGAAGGTCATATTTGTACAGGTGTCTCTGCACAGTAGAATAGTGCGCCACCACTCCAGAGTCTGCTAAATCTTTTTGCAGGTCTTTTTTGCAGTCAAATAAGGGTTTTGATTTGCCTTTCTGGCAATCCTATTAGCAGCTCTCTTAGAAAGTTTTCTTGGTCTGCCAGACCTCAACTTGACCTCCACAGTTCCTGTTAACTGCCATTTCTTAATTACATTATGAACTGAGGAAACAGCTACCTGAAAACTCTTTGCTATCTTCTTATAGCCTTCTCCTGCTTTGTGGGCATCAGTTATTTTAGTTTTCAGAGTGCTACGCAGCTGTTTAGAGGAGCCTGTGGCTGCTGATTGTTGGTACAAGGTTTCAGGAGTCAGAGCATTTGTAAAGTTTTGAATTTTGCATCACCTGGTCTTTCTTAACAATGACTGTGAACAAGTCATAGCCCTGTGTATGTATAAACAAAAATATCAGGAGATAAGAGGAAGAGAAACTGAACAATTACAAAGAAATAACCTTCCTTTCCTTTACCTTGTCCTTATAACACATACTGTGCATTACAGAAATAGAGATGGCTGAAGTCTATAGACCTCACAATAAGGATGTGAAGGAAATGTGATGTTATATTACACTTATTTTATAATTTTTTTGCTCAAAACAAGCAAAACCAATCCATTTCTGCATTTTTTTAGGTGACCTCTTGTGACCACACGGTCTTACCCTCTTCTTTATTCTGCCTTGTTTTGAGACATGATAGAGTTCATATTCAGAAAAATGTATAATACAAGAGAAAATGTGTTGGAAAATCATCACATGTCTGTCTGTCAGAACACGAGACTGCAAACTACTTGTACACTCAGTGCAGAGTGGAGTTGGGAGGGACTACTGCAAATGAGGGGCGTTTGGTAGAGCCCAACGCCCCCCTCCCCCCCTTGCGTGCGCGCGGCGTCGCTACGTACATGCGTAAAAGCCGTGCGTAATTGGGGATGTGGTCCGCCGTGCAGATGAAAAAGTTTTTGAAGGGACAGTGAGCTGCATGCTGATTAGGAGCGACTTCCTTCCTCAGCCGGGGCGCTAACATGGAGTTGGGGGGTTATAAATGCGAGCAAAACATTTTGTCAAACAAACAAGCCTATAGACTGCTGGAAAGTGCGAGAACTTAGACGGACACAACCGAGGTTCAAACATGATGGATGTTACGAGACTCTTTGTTGTTGTGTTGACTCTCCTGCTGGGAAGAGCCGTCGGGATAGAGCCAAGTAGTGGATACTGCATCGGGACTCACTGTTTCACTGTGCTCCAAGATCCCAGCGATTTCACAACCGCGCAGAACCAATGTAGAGATCAAGGCGGCCACTTAATGACAGTGCGGTCGACTGTATCCCATGATATTATTTCTGGCTTGTTGGGAAACTTCGCGGGGCGGTTCTGGATCGGTTTGCATCTAACGAGCGGCTGTCCAGACGCTGCTGCTGAGATGAGAGGTTTCCAGTGGGACACCGGAGACAACGTAACTGACTTCTCAAACTGGGCGCCGAGTTTTGACAGCAGCTGCTCTTCTCCTCGCTGCATCTCCGTTTCTCAAGAGGACAAGTTCAGATGGATCCAGGCACCATGCGACGAACTAGCGGATGGGTTTTATTGTGAGTACAGCTTCACTAACCCGTGCAAAAATCTAGCGGTTGCAGATAGTGAGACTGTCACCTACAGGACTCCCATGGGGCTTGAGAGCGAGGACTTGTTGTCTTTGCCACCTGGAAGCACCGCTATCCGGATGCCAGCTGAGACTAAATACGTCTGCTTCTCCCAGCAGTGGTTGCAGGCGCCTTGGAGCTGCGAGATAGAAGAAGGTGGGTGTGAGTACAAATGCGCAGCAGACCCCAATAATGTGCCCTCCTGCTACTGCCCATTCGGACATAGTGTCAACCCTGCAAATAAAATCACCTGCGAAGTGGCCGCAGGCGACCCGTGCCTGGCACTGCGCTGTGAGCACGCCTGCTACGAGACTGGAGGCTCGTACGCGTGCATGTGTGACCACGGATTTAAGCTGGCTGAGGATGGCAGGTCTTGTGTGGACTTTAATGACTGCAGGGACGAGCGGCAGTGTCCCGGGGAGAACTTCATGTGCGTCAACAACGTCGGCGGCTTTCAGTGCGTCTGCAAGGATGGATACAAGCTGAGCGGCGGTCTGTGCGTCGACGTGGACGAGTGTGTGTCCGCTCCATGTGAGCACTTGTGCGACAACACTCCTGGTAGCTACAGGTGCTCATGTTATGATGGCTATAAAGAGGACCCAAAGGCACCGAATAAGTGTAAACTTCACTGTGGGAAGAAGGAGTGCGCCGCCGAGTGCGACCCGAATGACAGATTCCAGTGCTACTGCCCTGATGGTTATGTGGCGGAGGAAAGGGAAGACCATACGGTTTGTATTGACATAGACGAGTGCTTTTTCTTGTATTGCGATCAAGATTGTACGAACACGTTCGGCGGCTATGTGTGCGCATGCTCTCCAGGATATACACTAGTTGAACAATATAAGTGCGTTAAAAACAGAGACGATACAGACACAGATGGAGGGCTGGAGGGCTCCGGTGCGAGTCCGACTCCGAACATCCCCACCCCCACAGCATCCCCCGTGCCACATCCAGAACCAACAAGGCAACCGTCAGCGGTGACAGTGGGGGCTTTTGTGGGGATAATAGTGTGCACTGTCTTTTTTATCGTCTTGGTGGTGTTTCTGGTTCATTACATGCTCTGCAACAGAGGGAAGATGGAGAGCGCCGGCACGCTCAAAGCTCCGGAGGGCGAAGCTCACGGTTTACATCATGTGACGAGTGACGCGTAAATGATAAAGACAGCTAAAGCGCGACATGTGAATGTACAGGCCGAGCCTAGGACACAACTGCAGAAACTGTTGGGACAGGTTTTGAGTGATGTTCGTTTCACAGCCAAACAATCCGAGGTAGGAGTGTGGTGATGCCACAAGAGAGATAAAGCCACCATAAACTTACAGGACAACAGAAATATAACACAAATATTCTCATTTTGTTCCCTGTCTGAAAGGACAGGTTTTATCTACCATTCAACTCTCATACACCAGATGCAATGTAATAAATCATGACAAAGAACTTTGTTTTTTAAAAAAGTTTGTGCTGGAACATTATTAAATTATGAAAATGCGAATGGAGGATACGTGTGTTTTTTTTTTCTTTTAAATGCTCTCAGCAAATCCTGCCTCAGACAGGCTGACTGCCCCACCCTGTGGACAAAGCAGAGAATTGCAGATCATGCTACCTCATGAAGCAACATTCTCTTAAATTTCTAATGTTTTCTTTCTAACAGAAAAAAATAAAAGACACAAACGTCAGATGCACCAAATCTGCCCCTAACCAGGTGATGATGAATCCCACTTGATCAGAAGTCACTAGGTAACGCCCCCTAAACACTATATAAGGGCAGTTGTGATGCTGTGTGCGCATAACCAAGAATTAGAGAGATGTCATTAAAAAAGACAGAATATTTTAAGCAGTGGTGAAACTGATGTACTGAGTCATACCAATTGGTGCCGTTTCAGACTGGTTTTGATCTATCAAAAAATGTAAAAGATTTTATTTCATCTAAATGAGGACTTTTTTTTAACTAACAAAAATACGCCTGTCCAGTTCAGAATATTATGATCTAATGCAGGGGTGTCAAACTCATTTTAGCTCATGGGCCACATACAGCCCAATTTGATCTCAAGTGGGCCGGACCAGTAAAACCACTGCATATTAATCTATAAATGACAATCCCTTCACATTTTTTCCATTTTTAGTGTAAAGAAGTACGTTCTAAAAACATCTAAAGTGGAAGCTGTTGAAGAAGCAGGTTGAGTCATCCCCCGCCTTACAAACCATTTACAGTCTTAAGTTTTGTCAGTGCCTCAGCATCAGGGTTCCATTAATATAGTTTTAACATAGAAGTCTGGTACTGAAGCTGCTGGTTGACAATATGTTGCACATTTTTCAATATCTTTAAACATGACCACAGAAAGTATTCATTTTTATTTCAAATAACTGTATTCTGGTCAGGGTGGAAAAGCCTCTGACTCAGTATTTTTCATGAAGTATCTATTCACTGTTTAAATTTCTCCTGAAACCTCTCAGCCTTCACAAGGGCATCAACAGTAGGTGTACAAAGTCATCTTTTTTTTAACTTTATTTTTATTGGTGTTTTCAAGTTGTAGGGAAGAGAAGAAGAGAAAAAAAGGAGAGCAAAAAAACGGGGTGGGGAATAAAGGTTGGTAGGAGCCACACAATGGTACAGAGTTTTTCAACTAAATAGTCAATAGGTTGCATCCCTTTATGTATATGGACCATTTTTTCCAGTATTTTATATATTGGTCAAATCGCAGTCCTAAAAAAAGGTAGGTTTCTCCATCCAGTGAATTTCTTTAATGATTGCAATCCAGTCATCCTTTGAAGGAGGGCTTATGTAGCCATCTCTGGCTTTCTTGCTTGCGGCCAAAAGTACTTTGTAAAGGTATTTGTCCTGGGTCATGAGATTGTCTGGAGTTTTGCCTAAGTACAATATGACAAAAGAACAGTCAAATTCTATTCTAAAGATGTTCCTCATAGCATTCATCCCACCCCTGGGACCCCTGTTGTAGAAATTTCAATGTTGGAGTCACAAAATATCATAAGTTTTTCCATCAGAACTCCTGCCAGCATCTTGAATTGGTGGTCCTAGTTTGCCCCTCCCAAATATCATTCTCAGATATCTCCAGGCCTGATTCCCTCTCCCATTTCTGTTTGATCTGGGTAGTGGAATAATTTTTGGAATTTTGTAATCTATCATATAGTCGTGATATAAAATGTCTGTTGTCTTTTGTCTTATATACATCAGTGAATATATTAGTCAAATTGGGTTCACTGCCCTCTGTTTGTTTAATTTCTTTATTGAAGTAATCTCTGACCTGGAATGATAGGAAAAAAAATTTATAAGTTTATAGACATTTGAAATCTGGTCAAAAAACTGTAAGTCATTACCATTAGTTATAGTGCAGAAACAAAATCCTCTTGTGGGCCAGTTTGGACCCTTTGACACCCCTGATCTAATAATTCTGACCAAAGTATTTGCTTGTGAAAGAGACCAAATGTCCACCCTGTTGCAGGACATTCTCATCTCTATCAATATGTAGTTTTAAAGCAGTTGTTATAAATTGTATATTTTTAAGTTAAAAGTTAAAATGTCCCTTACTTCATCCTTAAAATATTTTTAACAAGTATTCACAAACAACCATTATTTTGAAAAAAGTTGTTTTATTTTGTGGAGCACTCTAATTTCAACACATTCCTTTTTGAATAAAGGGGCGATTCAAGGGAATTTGGCCCTATTTTTTTAGTGATTTCATTTTTTATAGCATGCAAAAACCACAAAGACATGCTTACTATTTGTTAATTTTATTCCATTATTATCAAAAATAACACACAGGTAACAGGGTGGACGGAAGAGTAACGGTGGACTTTACACCATTGAACAACAACACATGTCATTTCAATGAAAAACAGAGTAATATAGAGGAATAATATAAATAAGGCTGTACAACAGTAATTAGAAATTTATAATTTGTTTTATTTCAATTACTCACAGTAAAATTTAAATTAAAAGCCTGGTCCCAATTACACGGCCAGTCCCTTTTACCAGGCCGGTGTGGATACACATTTTTACAAATAAGGCCTGTCTCAATTAGATGCCTGGGTTGCTGACATTAGTTTCCTGTATAGATCCTGCACACAAATATACTTTTTTTACTACTGTCAATATAGATATGCTACTCATTGTTAGCTTGGTTAGAGTCTCCACAATTCAATCGTTAAGTTCATTTTATTGAAACCATGAGCACCAGAGAAAATTGTAATTCATTCAGATTTACTAGCATATCGGGGAAAAAAACCAGGGGTGACTCCCTTCCTCTGAAGCTGTCATAAAGTCAGAATATGTGTCCATTCCTTGATTACCCAGTAAACTATTCCAATTCCTTTGGTCCGTAAGGGTCCACTGATCAAAAGAATCAACAAGTTTTTTTCATAAAAATTCATCCAAGTTGTGAATATTGTTTTAACAGGATAAAGTGAGGTTGTGTCGGTATGCCGGGTGCTGGAATCTTTACATATCGCAAAACGAGTGTCATAATGCTCTCTCGCTCTGATGCCTTGTCTTTTGGAGCTAACTCAAATGAATGATCTGTAATTAATTATTTGAAGCCTCATTTTTATACAAGTTATATTAATACTGGTTCAAATAAACAATTTGATCAAGGCAAGGCAAGGCAAGTTTATTTGTAGAGCACAATTCGTACACAAAGTAATTCAAAGTGCTTTACAGATCAAGAAAATGCATTAAAATCACAATAAAAAATAAAAACATAAATAATCATTATAAAATGAACTTTAAAAGAGAAGAGTGCAGATAAGATCCTTTCAGTCATATGCACAGTGAAATAGAGCTATTTTGAGCCTAGATTTGAACATTGTCAGAGTAGAGGCCTGTCTCACATCTTCAGAAAGACTGTTCCAGATTTTAGCTGCGTAAAACTGGAATCCTGATTCCCCATGTTTAGTCCTGACTCTGGGCACCAGCACGAGGCCGGTCCCTGAGGTCCTCAGAGTCCGAGATGGTTCATATGGCACTAACATGTCAGAGATGTACTTTGGTGCTAGGCCGCGGAGAGACTTGTACACAAGCAGAGCTGCTTTAAAGTCTATTCTCTGAGCCACAGGAAGCCAGTGTAGAGACCTGAGCACAGGACTAATGTGCTCGTACTTCCTGGTTCTGGTCAGGACCCGAGCAGCAGCATTCTGGATGTACTGCAGCTGTCTTACGGCCCGTTTGGAGAGGCCAGTGAGCAGGCCGTTACAGTAGTCTAACCTACTAGAGACATATGCATGGATTAGTCTCTCCAAGTCAGGTTTAGACACTATACCTTTGATTTTGGCAATGTTTTTTAGATGGTAAAAAGCTGTTGATGTTATTGATTTGATGTGGCTGTTAAAGTTCAAGTCTGAGTCCATTATTACCCTGAGATTTCTAACCTGATTTGTAGGTTTTAGAGAGAGAGACTGGTGGTGGTGACACTTTCTCTTTGTTTCTGTGGACCAAATACGATGACTTCAGTCTTGTCTGAATTTAGCTGGAGAAAGTTGTTTTGCAAGTGAATCCACTGGTCCATATTCACCTGCTGTCAGTGAGACATAGATCTGAGTGTCATCTGCATAATTGTGGTAGGACACATTATTACTTTGTATTAACTGGCCTAAAGGCAGCATGTAGAGATCATTGCTGAGCAACAGTTTTGTGTGAAAGGAATTAAAGGCCTGTCCCAAATAAGCCTGCTGAGTTCAGTAATTTAAGGTAAATAATAGCCCAGGCTACTAACTCAAGTTTTACGGTATATTTGTAATTTAAGTTGAGCTAACATGATTGGGGACATGGCAGTTTCACCTACTTGTGCTAAATTAGGGTAATTGTTTTGAATTTAATTAATCTTGCATACATATCATTCTGTTCTATGGTAGAAGTGGGTTCATTGTGTAAGACAAGCTTTTAAAAAGAAGCATTAGCCCATTTTTACACAAAATATACAATTTTATGTCATGGGGACTCAAATGGCACAGAATTCCAGGAATGACCCTACCAGTAGATAAACTTGAATAAAGTAAACCGCATTTTTCCTGAGTGTTATCCTGTTGTTACAGGTGAAGTAAAAGTACTAATACCACACTGTACAAACACTCTGTTACTAGTAAAAGCCCTGCATTGAAAATGTTATTTCAGATAAAGTATGGAAATGTACTTAAGTGTTAAGAGTAAAAGTACCCATGCAGAATAGTTTAAATACATTTAACAAATCAAAAATAGGGGGTTAGGAGTTTATTTGCATGCCACATCTTGATTTCACAGTATTTGCCCACTCTTCCTGGCAAAAGCGCTCCAATCAGATTGCAAGTGCATCTCCTGTGCATACTCCTCTTCAGATCACCCCACAGGTTTTCAGTTGGATTTAGGTCTTGGCTCTGGCTGGGCCGCTCCAAAACTTTATTTTCCTCTGTTGAAGCCATTCTTTTGTTGATTTGGATGTGTGTTTGGGCCTTGTGCTGAAAGGTAAAATTCCTCTACATCTTCAGTTTTCTAGCAGACACCTGAAGGTTTTGGGCCAAAACTGACTGGTATTTCGAACTGTTCCTACATGTAGTTCCCTCCACTTTGACTAAAGCCCCAGTTCCAGCTGAAGAACAACAACCCCACAGCATGATGCTGCCACCACCATGCTTCACAGTGGGTATGGTGTTCTTTTGGTGATGTGCAGTGTTGTTTTTGCACTAGACATACCTTTTGAAATTATGGCCAAAAAGTTCAACCTTTATTTCATCAGACCATAACACATTTTCCACATGCTTTTGGGAGATTTGGTGTATTTTTTTTAGCAAAATTTCGCCAGGCTTGGGTGTTTTCCTTTGTAAGAAAAGGCTTCCGTATCGTGACCCTAACCCCATAGTCCAGACAAATGTAGAATATGTAAGATTGTTGCCAGAAATTCCGGCAGCTCCTTCAGTGATGCTGTAGGCCTCTTTGCAGCCCCCCTGACCAGTTTTCCTCGTCTCTTCATCAATTTTGGAGGGACATCCAGTTCTTGGTGACGTCACTGTTCTGTATTTTATTCCACTTGTCAATGACTGTCTTCACTGTGTTCCATTCACTACTTGAATCGTTTGCAGCAATGGTGTAGTGGAGGGTATATGCAGCTGTACGGGGTATACCCACCTCTTTTTCTGGCTGTTTACAGTACGCCCACCTATCAGTCCATGGAGTTAGATTTGTCTCATTAATACCTGTAAATGCACAGAGGGTGATCTATAAATATTTCTTGATCTGCACACGTGTTTTGCTATCCACAAATACAATTTCTATTTTGTAACTTATATTTTGGTTTTTGCAAATAGATGTGTATTTGTAAATATATCATTTTTTCATTTGTAAAAAAAAAAAAAAAAACGCATTTGTAAAACTGAAAATTCTGTTTGTGAAGCACAAACACAAATTTCGTATTTTTAACTTGTGTGTTGGTTTTTACAAATAAATGTGTATTTGTAAATATCTGTTTTTTATTCGTTAAAAAAAAGCCATTTGTAAAACTGAAAATTCTGTTTGTGAAGTGTGATTCAGCATTTGTGGATCACCGATCACACACATGCATTTCTTTCCTCAGTGACATAATTTTGAGACGTTCCTGTCGAAATCCACACAGATCCACAAACAAATAGCTCGTGATTCACACAAAGCAACACCGTCATCCAGTAGATGGCAGTGTTGTTCTATGCATTGATGTAGCTATGGTTTGCACTCTGCTTAAGTGGACTTTCACTGCAACTTTCTGTCAGCAGCCGGGAAGGAAAGGTATAAAATGAATTAGGAAGTATAGAGCAATTGTGACCCATACACAGCACCGGCTGCTGTATACTCCGTTAAAAAAACCGCCAGGTCCCTGCAGAAGCTCGACTTCGGCGATGTTTACATTTTACCTGGTGGAGAATTCATCACCCTACACTCCTGCCAGAATAAAGGCGTAGCTACAAGAGCACAGACAGTTACCAATATTTCCGATCAGGATGGGTAAACAATGCTGCCGTTTTAAGAGGTGGTAATTTAACTAACAGTAGCTATCAAACGTTAATTCATGAGTCGTTAAGAGTTTTCACAGAAAAGTCTCATAGGACTTTTAAACCTTTTTTTCTTTTACTTTTGGTTTTTCTAATAATTAGTCAGTGTGTAGGGCAGAGGGCTATTCCAGAAAGCGGCTTATGTGAAAACTAGAGTAAGTGAACCCAGTGATGAGGGAAACTCTGGGATTTCCATTCCAGAATGAGAGGTAACTTAAACTCTCTGTCAGTCACCATGGTAACTGACTCTTGTGTCAGTCACCATGGTAACTGACTCTGTGAACCCAACCTGCTCGCTGGCAGGTTTACTTGAAGAAACCCAGAGTCTGACGGAGCTGTCCTTTCCTTCTCAATCCCATCATGTTGAAGCAGAAATAATTCATATAGGTCTAGTTTTACACCTTGGAAGAGAATCCGCTGACCGCTGACGTGCTCTCAGATCTGAACAATCCTCTGCGTTCTTATCACTTTGCAGGTTTCTCCTCTCTGGGTTGTCTTTACCTGACGGAATACGATGAAAACACAACCCCGGCTTTTCTCTGTGTCGATTTGTGCACCCAACCACACAACAACTCTCTGGCATTTTGGAGCGGCAGTGTGTTTCTGTAGCTTGTCCTAAACTAGCAGGCAGCAGGCAAAATGTGTTGTTTTGCCCTTTCAACTACTTGCAAACACTGCCACCTACTGACGAGGGGGGTGTGGTGCAGTGCGGTGTGCTGGGGATGGGGCGTGCTTTTGTGAATCACGAGCTATTTGTTTGTGAATCTGTGTGGATTTCAACAGGAACGTCTCAAAATTACGTCACTGAGGAAAGCGATGCATGTGTGTGATCGGTGATCCACAAATGCTGAATCACACTTCACAAACAGAATTTTCAGTTTTACAAATGAAAAAATGATATATTTACAAATACACATCTATTTGCAAAAACCAAAATACAAGTTACAAATTAGAAATTTGTATTTGTGAATAGCAAAACACGTGTGCAGATCAAGAAATATTTGTAGATCACCCTCTGTGCATTTACAGGTATTAATGAGACAAATCTAACTCCATATCAGCCAAACAGCCACTGAGGAGAGTACACCCACTTCCTCCTCGGAAAGGGGCTGTACATTATTTTTGAGGAGGGAAGGGATGGTGCAAAAAAGGGGGAGGCATGTCAAATAATTTTGAAGCACTGTAGAGGAAACAAAGGAATAGTTGGCACATCTATTTCCAAACAGGTGTGTAGGAGAGGGACCAGAACAATGACACTTGTAGAAAAGATTCCGGCACACTGTCTAACTTGCAAAACATAGACTGTTTGATTGATGAAGGCCAAGTCACTGAAACGTTGCAGCAATAAATTCTTTTTTTTTTTTTGCAAGTGTGATAAAGTGTGTGGGAGTCTTTTCTGCAAGTACTGGAGAGGAACTTGTGTTTTTTTTTACTGTGGCTTAGGAGAGGGCTTAACAAATGTAAATGGTTGCATTTTGCATTTATTCATTTTTAAAGAAAACAAGCCTTTCAAACCCCTCATTTGGAGGGCATGTTTTCTGTAAAAATCCCCACAATTACACCAATTATCATAGCCAGGAACTGTAAACATAGAAATTATTGTTAGATTTTTAAGATTCCTGCGGTCCTTGGACACAAAATGTGTGACAAACACTTCTGTCAGGAAAAAAAAACAGAACCAAATCTGAGCATATAATAGTGTATTTGATCCAAATCATTTTTTTTTACATCTCACTGGCCAGAAATAAACCATTTGCACAAACTAACCAGCTTGCACAACAACAGTGGAAAACCAAGGCTTTTTTCAACTCTATGGATTTCTTCTTAAACCTTCAGCTTTTAACTTTCAAACATCAAAGAGTCAGTCTGAAAAACCTAATAACTGTAAGTTCAGTTCAGGACCAGATGTTACAATCCGTTGATGCATATATTTGAGATTATGAGTGGGAGTGATTTACCATCTGGGGGTAGGGAGGGTAAAGCCTCCTTCACTGGTGTTTCAATGATAAATCCACAACACCTCCAGGGGGCACATCAGCAGCACCTGGCATCCCAGGTGCACCCCCCCTTGCTTTTACTCCCTTAAACCCTGCTGTTGTTAGTGGTAGGCTATTTCAGGGCCCAAATGGTGTCTCTCCTCTTGTTCCATAGCCACCGGCTTGCCTGTTCAGCTGCGCCAGAGAGGGCTCTGATGGCCCGACTGGGCTTGGCCTTGAGTTCCCATTTCTAATTTAATTTATTTTTTATTAATACAAGAAGTCACAACACTGGCACCCTCCTCCTCTGGCTGGTAAAGAGCAGTCCCTAACCTACCCTAGACTTCCTTCCTTTTATTAGATTGGCTTTGTTGTGGAAATTTATTTGGCCCAGCTGATTGTACAAGAACAGGCTCTTCCCTGGACCCCGAACTTTTAGCAGCTGGTGTGCTGGTAAACTGGACTTTAAGAGACTTTAATCTTAGACTATTTTAGCAAATCTTATTTAGGCTAGTTCTTAAAATAAATTCTTTGTAAAGACTTTACTCTGTGTGCTGATTGACAGACTCCTCCCCAGTGGAACTGTAGATAGAAAAAATCGGGGTTTCACTCCCCCGTGACAGTAACTATCAGTAGTGGTCAAGAGTTAGACAGACAAATGTCGCCACAGATCACGCAGCCCACTGCAACGCCCAGAGCGGAAGATGGGGAAAGCGGTCTTCGAAAGAGGAAGAGGATATTTGGCCATTCGGAAAATTCCATTTGTCTGTTTTGTCAGGCTAAGCGTACTGGATAGCACGCATGTTGACTGATCTCAGATCAGATATTAGCAGCAGTGCGGTAGGAAGGTCTGCAGGGAGGAGATACAACTAATCTGGCCGCAGGACAGACACCGTGAAGGCTTTTCTCAGTTTGAACAACAGCGCAGGTAAGATTTTCACTACATTACTGTATCACTGTAAACTAGTTATAAATGATCAGTTGGTTCTCAAACACGTTCTGCAGAGTCGGTAAAACTTTGAGGTTGTTTGAACATGTCTGTGTTTGCCTCCTTCTTTTTTGCTGTTAAACAGAGTGTGCAATAATCGGTAAATTTCACATGTCACTCTGCCTGTTTAAACTCAAAGCATAAAAGTTAAGTAGGCCTACAGCTCTATGATTTAAAAGCTTTTAAAAGCTGTGAACTGTAAATTCTGTCTCTAAAGGAAAACTTTGTCAACATCTGTTTTATCTAATAAGATAACATTTTCAGTCTGTTCATCTCACGTCAGCCAGTTTTTTTTGTAGCCATATTTATCTAGTGGACAGAAAATTAAGTGATTATATTATTGAAGTAGGCTACCTTAAGTTTATTTTGTATTTGTCACATTAATAATTTCTATAATTGAAAAAATCGATGTTGCTACTCAAAAATATTGCAATTCTAAGCTGTATCGATTTCCCCCACCCTAGATAGATAGATAGATAGATAGATAGATAGACAGACATATTCAATTAGATGAATAATTTCTAATATATACAAATATGCAATGGTGATTGTTGGGCAACATGTATTTTGATGTTGCCTACCCTAATGTCAAGTCTCTTTTTGATCATGTGACAACACAAATATGATACGGTAGCTAGTTTAGGCACAAAATATGTGAAGCCTGACAAGGTGAGCACATCTGCAAGTCCAGTGAGCAGTCATGGCTTTTAAACAGAAAAGCAGCAGTAAGGGAGGACAAGAGAGAAACCAATAGGAGGAAAAATAGCACATCAAATCAAGTTTATATAGCCTATAGCACATTTAAAAACAACTGCAGTTGACCAAAGTGGTGTACAAATTAAAATAATGGCACACAAATATATTGCAATGTAATTATGCACAAATATAAAACTGAATGAGAGTGGAAGGCTATTCCGGAGCTTTGGAGCAGCTACCACTGCTGTAGCTGTTCCAAAGAGAGAGCAAAGCTCCCTGAATTAAATTCCTCTGGCTTTAAACAGTTGCCGGTGGCGTGTGTGCGCCTTATAACTAGTAATTACTACTACTAACTAACTACAAACTAACTACAAACTAACTACTACTTGCACTTGTGTACACTACTACTGTAGCGTACACAAGTGCCTATCACAATAACGTGCACTGGGGCCAGTCGTAACTACCTTACGCCACTGACTGGCACGTTGCAGAAGGATAGGCTAGACAAAGCTGCCAGCTGATCTCTTGTCCCATATTCATCTTTTGATGTCAAACCCAAATATTTTCAGTCTACAACAAAAATAAAGGAATTGGCCTCACTGTTCCAATACTTTTGGAGGGCACTGTACGCTCTTTACTGTGAGTGCAATTAAACCTTCGCGAGTAAAAAGCCAATACTTTATCAGTAGGTTGCATGTGTTCAATAAGCATAAACATGTACGGTAAACGTGAAGACAGCGATATTTTAGTAGTTACATTAATATATTGATGTGATCTGTCCACAGTCTGTAATCCACCGTGTCTACCATTATGTTTTACACACGCAAGTACAGAACGCTAGTTTGGCTAATAGGGAATTGTTGCAAATAAGCAAAAATGACAGCTGTCTGTATGTAGTCTAAGTATTTAGCTTAGTTTGCCACTTATCTTAAAACTGGATGAATTTGTTTAAACTAAGCTGCTGGTACACACAAACAGCCCCTCCTCTCTCCACCAGCAATAATGTTACCTGCACACAGTGAATCACATAAGCAGAGATAGAGCAGGACAGAGGACAAGAGGAATGACTTACAGTGACTGATAAATACTAAAGTGCACTCAGTATTGTGATGTCAAGAGTATTATTTATATGATGACTTTGCGGTTGTAAAAATGACTGTTGCTGCTCTAAAAACAACATTTAGTTATATTTAAAATATTCAGTAATCTAAACCTGCTCTTATTTTTTTTTTAATTAATACATTTTTTAAAAAGCAATTATTTAGAAATGATAAATAAGATAGGGATTATTGGGAAGGAGTATTGATAAACGTAATAAAATCTTGATGATACCCATCCCTATCATGGACCATCGTCGAGTCGGTCATGTCTGTTTGCCAAGTCACGGTAAGATTTTATAACTCCACAATAGCCTAATCTGACACAGTGACTCTCAGAACACACAAAAATGTTGTGTAGTGTGAACCTGGCATAAAAAATCTGTATTTTTTGATTCTTCTAGTCACTTCAATTACATCTACATTTCCCATAGTATAACAGCATGTATCTGATTTTCAAGTTAATATTTTCAGACTTTTCACTGGCTGTGTAGCACTGCTGTGTACACTTAATGTGTAAAGTCAGTACCTTAAATGTATTTCATGGAAAATAAATAATGTCCATTGAATCAGTTGTGTAGGAGGATGTAAAGTAATCTATTGTGGTAACCCACAATAGACACTGAGAGAGACATTCACCATAAACACTGAGAGAGACATTCACCAAGGGACTGTACCTTTAAGGGAGAGATTGACGGGGTACTAGGGCTGTCAGAATTGCTCAAAAATGACGTTCGAATATTCCTTCTAAAAATAACTCATAGGTTCGAACCATTCAAATTTTTTTTTTTTTTCACATTATGTCCACAAGAGGGCAAACTAATACAAGGAAACATACTTGTATATGTATTAATACAAGGAAACATAACTACTTGTAGGTATTTTTATTTCCACATAAACATTTTTGAAAACATTTACATACCTACACATTAAAACACATAAAACAATTATCTATAACATTACGTTATAAACGACCGCGGAGCTCTCGCTCGCCCCCCCTCTCTGACCCGTGGCCACACCGCCCACGGAAGCGCTGCGAATAGCCTCGAAGCACCGGACCGTGACCGGCTTGCGCCCTGCAGCGATCGTTTCGGCATCTGGTCTATTTTCTGCGCGAGCCGCGAGCGAATGTGTCAAGCCGGGTGATGGAGACAACAGCTGGGAGCAGAACCGCTTGTCGACCAGCGTGGAGAAATGCGCGTCTGATGCCAACGCCCACTCGCAAAGAGGACAGCTGCGGTGGTGTTTTTTTTTTTTTTTCTCCACAATCGAATATCAATTTTCACATTCGAAGGTCCATTTTTTTTTCAAATTCGAATTTAAATTCGAATTTAGAATATTCGTTGACAGCCCTACAGGGTACTAGTGGTTCCGGGTTTATGTTGTGTTTACGTTTTCACCTCGCTCGCTGTACTGTGCAGTTATATATATTAAGTGGAGAGTAAAGCTGACTCGACGCATCTCCGTGTCCTGTCTCCTCATTTTACACACTCCACATTGGTGACCCCTACGCGAGTTGGATACTGCTGAGTTATGTCAAACAACGACGGTAGTGACAATGCTGCTGCAGCGCCGGCGGTTGCTAACGGCGTGGCTAATGTCGGTGCTATTTACGCTGCGACCATCAAGTTACCGGACTTTTGGCAGCACAACCCGCGGCCGTGGTTTCAACACATCGAGGCCCAGTTCCAGCTGAGAGGAATAACACAGGACGTTACAAAGTATTTCCACGTCGTAGCAGCCTTAGATGCCTCGATGACAGTCAGGGCTATGGTACTGTTAGAGGCTCCTCCGGCCAACGGCAAGTACGACACACTCAAAGCATTCCTGTTACAACTCTTTGAACTGTCTGAGCTTGAGAAAGCAGACCGCCTGCTGTCCCTAAACGGCCTCGGTGACAGCAAGCCGTCCGAGTTAATGGAGAGAATGCTGGCTGTGCTGGGGGCGGCTGATCCCTCGTTTCTTTTCACCCACATTTTCCTGCACCAGCTTCCAGCACCCGTGCGCACCGCACTAGCCAGCTCTCCCCTCTCCTCCTCTAGAGGCTATCGGGCACTGGCTGTGGAAGCAGACAGGATTTTCCTCGCCAACCAGCAGCAGTTTGTCCATGTGGTGCTGCCCCCTCAGCACATGTCAGCCCCACCCCCACCTCCGGAGGACAACCCGGACACCGCAGCTGCAGTGACAGCCCACCGACAGCGTGAGGACGGGTGGTGTTATTATCATTCCAGGTTTGGGGCCAAGGCCAAGCAGTGTCGCAAGCCATGCAGTTTTGGAGCCCAGGGAAAAGCCAGGGCCGGTGCTCATTAGCAGCTATGGGTGCTGACCACGATTGCAAGCTGTTATTCATCACCAACACCTTGTCCGACCGGCGGCTGCTGGTCGATTGTGGTGCTCAGCACAGCATCCTGCCGGCGAAACCGGCAGACACCATGGCTGGCAGGCACAGCCCCCCGATGGATGCCGCCAACGGCACGCCCATACGTACCTATGGCACAAGGTATGTGGAGGTGTGTTTCAGCGGGTGGCGTTTGGGCTAGGACTTCGTCATGGCCGCCGCTCCTGGGAGCCGATTTCCTCTGTGCTTACAGACTTTTGGTGGATGTTACAAACTGCCGCCTGATCGACACCCTCTCTTTTGCATCGGCGGTGGCTAATCATGGCATGGAGCACCACATCACCACAGTCGGCCCCCCAGTCTATGCACAAGCCCGGTGCCTCGACTCTGCCAAGCTCGCAATCGCCAGGGAGGAGTTCACCACCATGGAGCACCTCGGCATTGTGCGCCGCTCCAACAGTTCATGGGCCTCCCCCTGCACATGGTAACCAAGGCTGATGGCGGTTGGCGCCCCTGTGGTGATTTTCATCGCCTAAATAACGCCACCACCCCCGACTGGTACCCAGCGCCGCACATACAGGACTTTTCTGCCCACCTTGCCGGTGCCACCATCTTTTCGAAGGTGGACCTGGTGCGCGGTTACCACCAGGTGCCCGTCCACCTGCAGGATGTCCCCAAGACAGCGGTCATCACACCCTTTGGCCTTTTTGAATTCCTGCGGATGCCTTTTGGCCTCAAGGGTGCAGCGCAGACGTTTCAGCGCCGTACTCTGTACTGCGAGACATGCCGTTCTTGTTTGTTTAGTTGGA